TTTTTTGGATGAAAAGTTTTCAAATTCCTTTTTTTTTTTTTTTTTTTTTTTTTTTTTTTTAAGAATGCTACTCAAATAGGGCCTAAATTTATCACAATAGCTATAATATTAACTTGACCCTCAAAGTGAGAACTTCACCGCCCATATCCCTCGTAATGGAGTTCATTGAGTTACATCTAAGTAAAAAGTAATAAACCCAATATCATTAGGAACAAGAATTTAGTCTTAAAAAGGTAATTAAGCTCAGCCAAACATGACATTGCCCTTAGATTTGCACAATCATTGCAGCCAATAACAAAGTAAGAACAGCTGAACAATTATTATCTTGGATCATGAAGTTGACAAAAGGTCAATAGGTACAACTATTTTTCAAGAATCAATAGCAAATAACTGCAGATTCAAACCGTACAAGCCTTTTGCTCACGTTGCAACAAGAATCTGGTCCTCTATCCAGTGCATCATCTTGCACAAAAAGGCAACCCATTTAACGCCATACTTCCGGAATTACAAACCAATTTGAAGAGACAAATCATCATTCAAGTTAATAATTAAAGAAAAAGGCAATCGAATTAAATTTTTGCGACATCTAAAGTCTGAATTCATGTTTTCGTTGACGAGCTAGAATATAGTAGATCAAGCCATAGAAAGCCATTCCCCAAACAGCCATAATTATCGAGTTCCCACTTTGGATATCTCACCTTCTCCAGAGTGACGATCAATGAGAAGGCTTAGCACCTATTTGGAATGGATTTTCTATTAGATTTTTAGTGTCTTTATTGTTGTTATACGGTGCCATTGTCAGTGGTCAAAGCGGCAATTTTTGAATGAATTAGGTAGAATGACGAATGCATCCTTTTACTCTCATTTCATTCTTCAATACAAAAGGGCAATTCAGTAAAGTGGCTCCTATAAAGTCAATAATTGCTGTAGATTCAAAAACCCATCTGGCATACCAACGGTCAAAAGTTGGATTAAAACTGGAGCAAAATCGTTACCAAACGAAGGCTTAATTCAAAATAGGAAAATTCTGTTTGTACATAATTATTGCACCTAATGATGTCCATAATGTGATATGACAATCATCCGATTGTTGGTGTGCAAGTATGAGATTTGAATTAATAGTTAGATCCAGTGCCACGTGTAATTATATACACTATTATGTAAACAATTATGTACATGTAGCACTTCCCTTCAAAATATAGTCTATCTTGTATATTAGTCTTAAAAAAAAAGAAAGACTAATAAAATTGGGGATATGTGCAGTAATGAGATGCATCAGCATCGGTAAGAAGAATGCTAATTCTTGATTATCGTTCGAAGAAGGTAGGGACAGCAATGATTTTGTTGAGTGGCCACAGATGCCACAGATACGTTGGGCAAATAAAAGTATTATAAGTGGAAAACATAATAAAGAAAAGAACTATGTGAAATGATTCAACATTACGAGCGGAGCAAAGCATAACGACAAAGTTAAAGACAATGATGTAAATTGGGACAAACAAGTAGAATATAAAACGGGCGAGGTTCTTTTGGATTACTTTTGACAAAATTCCTTTCGGCTGATCCCATAACAGTCGATTATTTCTAGTACTGCGTTTGATTATGTTGAACTGGATACATGCACGTGAAAGAAAGGGAGAAAGATTAGCTTAAAACGAATGCAGGCTTTGATTGATGAAAAAGAAGAACATACCTTGAAGTCGGGCCTTCTCTTTACACTACTTCGACATTAGAAATGCTGAAATACCACGAAATTATGAGCCTGTTTGGGAGTGATTTTGAGAATTGATTTTTTGACCATTAAGAGAAAAGTGTGGTTCATTTGTGATAAAAGAAGTCAAATATGTCTGCTGAAATAGTGAAATAACGATCAAAAAATCAATTTTTTGGGAAAAAAATCACTCCCAAACAAGCTGTATAATGTGCACCGAACAACAATTGCTCAGGCCACCTGTTAAGTATTTAAAAGCCTATAATTTAGAAATTTTATTTGAAGATGCTAATGTTTGGAAACTAGGAAGGCATTCATCCAATGTCATAGAGAACAAACGAAGCTCTCTATCACCAGACACGATGAGTTTTTTTTTTTTTTTTGGATGACTTAGGTGTTCGAAATTCGCCCGACTAATTTTGAGGAGTGGTGGCTTTCACCCCAGTTCGCCACTCAGGTAAATTCAGATGCGGTCACAATTTATACACACGATGAGAGTTTTAGCTGGAGAGAATACCACACTCTTGTTCCCAGAAGAAAATGTTTTAAATAAACATGTGCGGATTAATATCATTATGCAGTTTAGGGTCTTCGATCAAAAAAGAGGGAAACTGATCCCTTAAAGATCAATATTATTATTGGTTGAATGTCAAGATTTTAAATTGTAACGTTGAACATAAGATCTTGTCACAAACTTTTTGTCTGTAGATTGCTGCTTATATTCTGCTTCCTTCCTTATTTCTTGCCTGCAAAGATAAAAAACTGACATGTTAATATGAATCGGCAACCCTTCCTATGAAGGGGCTGTCATAATACATTCGACATTAGCATCTTGCATCATACTAAAGTAATCGTAAGTCAAAAATTATATATGTAAAGCAGAAAACATTGGTAACAATTCTAAAGTCTTGTCCTGGCTATCTAAGCTTCATTAGTCACATTAAGCTCTCTGTCACTTGAGGCCAATTGCCCATGTTAATCTAGAAAATCCATAATGTTTAATGGTTTTCATCCTCTGAGGATATCCATATATCGCGAACAGAGGCAAAGTGGTAGCAGCAACTAAGACTAGAGTCTAAATTCTATCCAGATTGTTGAGTGTCGAGAGCCCAGTGAGATGGTGACTGCCTCCAATGCCAATTCTCCGTTGATTTCCCAGCTCTAACCATCTTGTTCGAGTGAGTCGAGAAACTTGCCTCTCTCGCTCTCTTTCTCGCTCTCTCTCCCGACAATTTGTGTCAAATATGATGCCAGATTAAATGGGAACTGGACCATCTTGTAAGTAAAACTTCTCATCCCATAACATTAATCAAAACGTTAGACTATGTTTCTCCCCGTTTCAACAATCAGAAATATGAAGAAGCATTTCAAGCACCTTTAAATTTATAACACCAAATTATGAGGAATGCATCTTCAATCCGAAAAGAGAAATGCGTTTCCAAATGACACTGCTGTAACATACGAGAATGATCACAAAGCAAATATTAGCATGGAACTATTTCTTATATATGGATGATCTAAAAGAAAAAAAAAAAAAAAAGAGAGATAAGGCACACACACCAGACGGAAAATCCTGCCCTCCCCTGAATGGAGGATTCTTTCCAATTCCATTCGTCTGAAACAAAGAGAGGAAGATAATGTATCTTACTGCAGATAAGTTATTCGGTTTTGAATGGTAAAATTATTGAGTATATGAACCTTATCCCACTTTGACTGTTTGTCCCGCCTTCCATCTTTCGCTACCGTGTCTACGGAGGCTTGTGCTATATTTAACATACCATATACTATTGAGACCGATTGACCAATAATGCAGGAATTGAGATTTAATGAATTCCACTTGTTTTATTTGAAATATTGAACAAGATCACAAATAACTCAAGAACAAGATTAAAGTAAGTAAAAGAAGAACTAACAGAAGGAACGATGTTTTATTAATTCACTATAAAAGGAGAATGCAATATAGCAAAAGGCTTCCAATAAAACTAACAGAGGAGCCTTGTATTTATAGTATAAAATATAGTCCTAAAAAAGTCCCAAAAAAAGTAAGAAATCTAATGCAATTTAGACTCCTATTTGAGTCACACTTCTAATAATCTCCACCTTGACTCAAATTCCGGTGCAACGAACGAAACTCCAAAATTTCTCCACCTTGAGAAATGATCCGTCTGCATCAGAATAACCAAACTTCTCAACACAGTAACCAAACTCTCCACGAAAACATGTTCCTCCGCCCAATGTCTACACACGACACTCGAACCCAAACCCAGGTTTTCAAAATTCCTCCTGGAATTAACAATCACTGGACAGGGTCGAAGCACACCCTGTAGCACAAACCACACCAAATACACAATCAGAAGGTCCCTTGCCAATATTGTTACTTTCAATGATTTCTAAAACATTACAGACATCTCCAAAACTGTACCTACGCTCCATGAGTTCATTAGCATTACAAGAACACAATGTACCCGCTAAAATTGGTGGCAAAGCAGAATCACCAACACTCCCTTGAGCAAAGTTCTTAATTGACCCAGAGCCAAACCCGAGAGGTACTGTACCAAACTGAATGTCCACCACGGTACTGAACTTGTCCAAATGTCTCTGAACTGGTTTTGCGCTCCCCTGCAAGATGTACAACTGGAATTTCCTCCATCCCCCCAATACAACCCGAACACCCCTTTGAACCTTCAAGACTCCACCTCCACAAAAAAATTTGTACTCTTTTTCATCTAAGGTACTCAATGATATGAGATTCTTTGTCAAATCTGGAACATGGCGAACCTGATCAAGTGTCCTCACTGTTCCATCCTGTAACCTCAATCTGACCCGACCGATTCCTGCAACCCGACAAGATTGGTTGTTTCCCATGACAACTCCACCTTACTTCACTGTCTCATATGTTTGAAACAAAGCTCTATTGGGACACATATGATACGAACAAGCAGAATCAAGAATCCACTCCTCAGGTTTGGATTCCCCATCAGATACAGCCAACATCACATCTCCATCATCACAAAATTTTTTAGCAATATTAGTCTCCTTCGAATTACCCGATTGCCCCGCATGATTTGCATGTAAATCACCTTTACTTTGCAACTTGTCGCAATCTTTCTTGATGTGTCCTTTCCTCTTGCAGTAATAACAAAACACATTGCTATACTTCACCTTCAATCTACCCCTCCGTCGATCACCATGAGTAACAAGAGCATCCCCACTCCTAGATACAGGATCTCCAACCAACAACTTCTTCTCTTTTGAGAACAGGGCGTCGTATACCTTCTCAATATATAACGTATCACGACCATATAGAATAGTATCATGATATGACGAAAAAGAATTGGGTAGCGAACACAACAGGACCAAGGCTAGATCCTATTCATCATATTTTACTTCCAACGTCTCCAAATCTGCAACGATCTCCTTGAACACAGCAAGGTGGTCCTGCAGTGACCCTCCTTCCGCCATACGATGAGAATACAACCTCTGCTTTAGAGTCAGTTTGCTCGTCAAACTCTTTGTCATGCATAACTACTCCGGCTTGAGTCACAAAGCAGCCGCTGTCTTCTCCTTCAAAATATCTTGCAGCAAATTGTTGGATAAATGAAGTTGGATTTGCGCTAAAGCCTTCCGATCCTCCCGTTGTTTCTCCTCCATAGACAAGCTTGCTGGCATCCTAACAAAACCCAGCAAAGTATCATCAAGATCTATCTGCGTCAACACAACTCTCACCTTTACTTGCTACAGCGAAAATCTTGTATTGCGATCCAATAGAGAAA